GGGCCTTTGTTTCCTCCCCTGTAAAAGGGGATGTAATTACGGTCTCAGTAGATAGGGGTTTGGAGTACGAAGAGGGGATTGGCCGGAGTACTCTCTCAATGTTTCCTTCCTGTCACAGAGGACATGTGATGTTACTAAATTCTACTGATTCTAAACCTCCCAGCTCCTTCCCTCTTCTCCCTTGCAAGCCTCACTTCTTGCGGTTTCCGAAACTGACGAATCCCCTCAGCTGCCCGGAGGTCTTCCATCTCTAACTCTCATGCCCGCAGAGGGAACTTGTGGCAGGGATTCTGAGACCTGCTGTCACACATGGCAGCATCTTGGCCGTGAGAACCCAGCGTGTATATACGGTAGTGCTGTTAGCAGCCTGTGTGTCTTACTTAAACAGTAGGTCTTAAAATTGGTCTCTTAAGACTCTGTAAGCAGGCTATCGTTCTAAAACGTGCCAAGAACTTTTAATTCCTGTTGCTTAGCGCCTAAGTTCAAATCCTTCAGTCTGCTGGACTCCCATTTCTTAGGACCCTACTCCAGGGGCTTCTGCTCCAGCCTCCTTTCTGCGCATCTCCTGCTCTATCTCTCTGTGCTGATCCCAGATGACTTGGGTACCTTGCTGTGAGCTCACGCCTGTGGTGTGCTCACTCTCCATCCCAGGAGACACTGCTCAAGGGCCATCTTTGACTGATCTTCAGGCTGCCTCTCTCCCAACCACTTTGTCCACTCCTCTGGTGGAATCACACCCTATTCCTTGTTCTCATCGCCGTAGGCCGGCATTCTGTTTCTAGTGACTGGAAGCCTGAACTAAGGCAGAGACAACTGCTGATCTCTCTGGTGTCTCACAAGCAGTGTGTGCCCAGGAAGTATTTAAATGGAATTGACTAGAGTGAAGAAATTCCAGCTTCTGGAGGCAGCTTGGGAATAGGCTTGTAAGGCCCTGGGTATGGTGTATCCCTTTCTAGGAGGGGCCTGCTGTCCGGAAGCTCACACTGACTCCTCCTTATCCCAAGCCTGAGGGACTTGAGTTTCTGAACAAGGCAGGCCATATTTTATTGGGAGCCACCTGCTTGACTTGTTTTTTTTTCCCCCCTATTTTCTCTGTCTCCTTTTGAACTGTGGCATAGAATGTTTTGAAACAGTTTCTTCTGTGGTCTCCAGGCCATTAGACTTGAGGGGAAGGTAATGAACTTGTCCTGAAGGTAGGCCCGTCTCTCTGTAATCACAGTGTGTTTCTTAGCCCCCTGGACCTGGGTGACAGCATCATGTTGTGGAAGGACTTGGCAGCAGAGGCTCATGTCTAACCCAGCCAGCCATGGCCATGATCTTGGGCAAGTTCTTTAACCTTCCTCTTGGTTTACCCACCTGTACAAGCGTTTCTGGAGAGCTGAAATGACTCACACACTTAGCCTTTAGGGCTTCGAAACCAGTTGCCTGTCAGGTGAATTGACCTCAAATCCTTAACACTTCCAGGGGACATTCCATCTTTTCTCTCTCGCTCTGGGAAGCTAAGTCTTTGACTCCTTCACCTTATAGAACTGCCAGGCTGTACCAAACAAGGGAATTACAAAATTTAAGTTTATTTCTATCCACTCAAAACACTGTAAGCTTCTCGTGGGGATTCTGCCCCACTTGGTTTGTGTGTATTCCAGTTCTCCGTCCTGAAATTGGTGGGGAGGCACAGGCAGATTTGGCGACCGCCGAGACAGATGGGCGCTGAAGCTGCCTGGGACCGTCTGACCTTCTCGAGCCCCTGCTGACTGGTGGAGCCCAGGGATGTGTCTCCAGGAATCCGTGTCCTTGCAGGACCATGGACTGGTCATCCCTGAAAGTTCGAGCACTTTATCTCCTGCAGTGTGTAGTCACCGTGGTAAATTAGAAGGGAAAGGCTTTGGTCAGAGGAGGGAGGTCAGGCAAGCATCGAGTAGGTTGGCATTGAGGCAGGGTATATAAAGGTACACCAGCAGAGATTTGGGGAGAGGGAAGGCTTTCTAGGGAGCGAGCGCCCCAAAACCACATGGTCTGGATAGAGCTTGGGCTTAACTACTTACAGCCTGAGCAGTAGGATATAATGATGCACATTTTCATTTTCTGATTTCAGCATCCTCTGTTCCCTAGCATGTGCAGGCTTCATTCTGTGGCCTCTAGCCCCAGGGCTACTGGGACCCGTGGATTCCTCGGACTTGGCTGAGGCCCAGTGGGGATGTTATGGATGGTCAGGATGTCTGCTCCCTGAAGTACCTGAGGCTCTGCAAAATCTGTTTCTTGTCTGTGACTTAACTCCCAGGAATACGTGGTGGCGGTGTCTCTCTCAGTGTGGTGGTGACGACAGAGGCTCACAGAGCTTCTGCCATCTTTCCCAACCTCTGCCCGAGGTTCTTCCCTTGGTATCCATCTCCCCCATGTTTTCCTTTGAGCTGGGAGATGACCCAGTTAACCAGGGGGCAGAACTGGCATCTGACCCCAGCCTCGCCACCTAGCCTGGGCCCTTCCTGTGACTTTACCCTGGCTGGCTTCTCCACAGGAACACATGAGGGGCCACACGCTCCCCCCCACCCCCAACCCCGCGATGAGGCCGGCAGGGGCCCAGGTGGGCAGTCTGTCTGAAGGAAGGGGCTGGAATTCCCGCATGCCTCTCCTGTTTGTGAGTGGACAGCTGGGGATTCCTGCTTGAAAACACAATGTGTGGTTTCTGATGAAATGAGCCCACGGCCCTGGCCCATGCGGGGAAGTCTTCTTGCCTCCTGGACAAGTAGCCACCCTCCCTGGTTTTCCATTCTGTCATGCTCCCTGATGCTGGGTCTGATTCTGAGCCCGCTTCTTCCTGTCCAGCGCTTTCCTCTGAACAAACAGCCCCTCCTGTAGCATCTCCCGAGCTCAGCTCATTCCCCCCAGAGCGAGCTCTAGGGTCCCCAACCCAAACCCCACACCCCTAGGACACTTGTTTACCCTTCTTTTCTTTCTCTGGGTTCTCATAACCTGGACTTACAATGTAGTCTGTTTTGCAGGCTTGTTTTCTTTTTACTTGGGTTTCCCTGGTTACCAACTTTGTGTGTAAAGTAATCACCATTCCCCACCCTTTACTTCCCCACTGTTGGAGTGAAAAAGTTGTACTGTTTTCTGATGGTAGCCTTCACAGGAGGAATTTGATGGCTTTTTAATCGCTTCCTTTCTGGCTGTACCACCAGCAGACCTTTCTTGCCCTCCTTTTTATGGGTCTTGTCTTTGGCGTCAGGCAGATTTGGGCTTCAGATCACTTCATCATTTCGCAGTGTTTTTAGATAAAGAGCCTCAGCCCACCAGAGCCAGTGACCTAGAAAGAGGATTATGAGATGGGAAAGAGCTAATTTTAAAAAGAAAACACCCCATCTGCCCTAAACTGGTTCTACCTTTATTGTTTTGATTGTGAGTAATACAAACAAATTATATAATTACAGGGGAAGTGAGGTCTGTCAGATCGTGGTCAAAACCCCAAAGCTGTTGCCTTGTCCATCCGTCTGTCCTGCCTCAGCCTAGAACTCCCAGAGCAGTGGCTTCTGTAGACTCTGCTTTGGCAGAAGCTACGTAAAGAGATGTAGCTCTTGTTTTCCTATGGAACGGAGACCCCCATCCTAGGGATCAGAGGAGCCATCCATATGCCTTCTCATCAGAAGGATGACCTCTGCCTGTTTTAGACTTTGGGGACAGTTACAGTCCTCTGATAACTTCCACAGAGGATCAGTGTTCCGTTAATTGCTTTGTAAAGAACATTGGGATTTGTTTGGAGATGCCAGTCACCAGCTTCCCTGGAGTTTCTGTGGTTCAGCAAAAGGAAAGACTTCTGGAAAGGCAGAGCTGGAGTGTCAAGCCAATACAACTTGATTCTAACTTCTGTGTCCGCTGTGGACTCCTGTTCCCACCAGACCTCCTTCCTGTTCACACCTCTCCTGTGTTCCATTATCCATCCCATCTCTCCGCCTAGAATACTCTCTTGCCTCTCTGCACTGATCTACTGCCTGTCCTTTAGGTGGAACTCAGGTCCTGACCCTTCTAGTCTCAGATTGGGCATATCCTACCCACCCTTCCACGGTTCGTAGTAAAAGTTGACCTTGATGCAGATACTTAAGATGCTTGCTGTCTTAGATACTTACCTGTTATCTCCTTGAAGCTAAGCTTTATAGAGGGAGGGGCCTGTTACAAACCTAGCTTGTGCTGGGCAGATATGGTAGTCCAGCAGGAAATACTGGAACATGCCTTTAAGATAAACAAATCTGTAGGACACATTTTTAGGTGCATTGACAAGAGTCGTGCAAGTTAGGAGAGAGGGGAGGAGAGGTCCTTTGCCTGGTATGGATTAACAGACATTTTTTATGGCCTTCTTGCACCCTTGACCTTGTCTCAGCAGCAACCCTGCGAGCCATGGGCCGGGGGAGGTGCGATGCTGCTGGTCTGGAGATGCTAGAAGGAGACAAAGTAGCTTCCAGGTACATGGATTGAGTCCCTGGACTCTTTAAGTCTCTCGGAGCCTCAGGTTCTTCTGTCTTTTAAGATGCGAGTATTTCATCCTTCCTCCCCCGCTGGGGAAGGGGGTGGTAAATACTAGCTTGAAGGTCAGGGTCCAGTGTAGGTGTCCTGTGAGTGATGCCATGTGGCCATGTACAGGTGAGGGAGTGGAAGGAGAAACTTGGAAAGGTGAACTAAGTGCCGTTGCCTCCTGCTAACTCATTGAACCCGTCAGCAGGCAACCAGTTACTCAGCCAGGCACCAGGTAATTCCAAAGCCAGGTGCTTGACTCCATTGCCCGCAGCCTGTGTCATTCCTTAGCTTGCTAGCCCTTGACTCATCCCATGTGAGTAGAGATGGGCCTGCTTGGTGCAGTGTTGGCTCTGTGCGGGTTTTGCTGGTCCCCTTGGCTGGGAGCCTGGTCCCCGTTGTCTGGCGTAAGCTTGCTGTGCTGCGTGCGTGCGGTCGGAGAGTGGTGTGGGTGTGTCCATGGCACTCAAGCTCTTTCCGGTCTTCCTTCGATTTAGGAGAAAGGATCCTGGGTTATGCTGAGGAGCCCTGCTATCTCTGGTTTGTCATGGAGTTCTGTGAAGGTGGAGACCTGAATCAGTACGTCCTGTCCCGGAGGCCGGACCCAGCCACCAACAAAAGCTTCATGCTACAGCTCACGAGCGCCATTGCCTTCCTGCACAAAAACCACATCGTGCACAGGGACCTAAAGCCAGACAACATCCTCATCACCGAGCGGTCTGGCACCCCCATCCTCAAGGTGGCAGACTTTGGACTAAGCAAGGTCTGTGCGGGGTTAGCTCCCCGAGGAAAAGAGGGCCATCAAGACAGCAAAAATGTGAATGTGAATAAGTACTGGCTGTCTTCAGCCTGCGGCTCAGACTTCTACATGGCCCCCGAAGTCTGGGAGGGACACTACACAGCCAAGGCCGACATCTTTGCCCTGGGCATTATCATCTGGGCAATGATAGAAAGAATCACTTTCATTGACTCTGAGACCAAGAAGGAGCTCCTGGGGACCTATATCAAACAGGGGACTGAAATCGTCCCTGTTGGTGAGGCGCTGCTAGAAAACCCAAAGATGGAGTTGCATATCCCCCAGAAACGCAGGACTTCCATGTCTGAGGGGATCAAGCAGCTCTTGAAAGATATGTTAGCTGCTAACCCACAGGACCGGCCTGATGCCTTTGAACTTGAAACCAGAATGGACCAGGTCACATGTGCTGCTTAAAATTCAGGGCAAAGCATCTTGAGTGTTTTTAAACTAGGTGAGTGTACGCTTTTTGTTCTGCATGCCAACTTCCTGGACTGGATTCTTCATCTCAGGCCCTACGGTGGGCCCCGTGGAGCTAGGGGGAGACGGAGGGTGGAAGACACCCGAGTGCTTATTGTGAGAGGACTCACCCAGGTCTTGAGGAGGAGAGCTGTGGGGCGGAGTAAGAGCTGGAAAGTCTAGAGAAGTCCTCTGAGTGCACATCTCAAGTGTTTTAGAAATACTTTTTCTCGACAATTAATAAATGCTTACTGGAGAAAATGTGCAAAAGAGGTACGGACAGTTTTTTTCAGGGAATATATGCTGTCCCTAATTGTGTCTCCAGTTCACATGTCCAGTTCTGCACAGTTGAGATCGTGCTATATTTAGGTCTAGTTTTGGTTCCTGCTCTTTGAGCAGTGCTCTGAGCATCTCCCATGTGATACTCGGGAAGTACGGTTTTCAGTAGTTGACATTCCACTGTACGTACCGTAATGTGACCAGTCGCCTATTTCGGATACAGAAGAGAAGATGGGTCTTCTCTTTTTTAGATAGTGTCAGTGATGTGATGGGTGAATTCTTAGATGGAAGCCTCTGCTTACTTAAGAGATTGATTGTGGGCTTTTATTTGTCAAGTGTTACGCTAGGCTCTGGGGTAACAGCGGTGAGCAAATTTAAGAAAACAGCCCCATCCCCATGAATTCTGCAGCTTTGTTGAATTAGCCGGGGAGAGAAACATTGATCCATAATCGCCGCAGGTGTTTTATGACAAAGGAGAAATGGTAGGACAGGAAATGGGCCTTGGGGTGGGGGGGGGGTTGGTGCCCAGAGGCAGGTGTAGGGAATTGGGGGTGGGGCAGGGAGGATTCCAGGGAAAAGGACACTAACCTCTGCCAAGGACCTGAAGCCAGAGGGAGCCTCGCACACCTGAGCACCTCCACGGGCTTGGGGTGGGGTAGTGAAGAAAGCAGACTCGGAGGAATGGGCGACCTGCCCAGGGGAATAGGCAGAGCTGAGGTGGAAAGTCCGTAAGTGTGTGCAGGAAGGGCCGTGGTTGTTGAGTTGGACCAGAGGCTGAGGTGAGCAAGGGCAGTAAGATCAGAAGTAAGGTGATACAGGGGATTTGACCTTGGTGGGCATTTGGGAGCCATGAGCGGACCAGGGCAGAACGGTGCAGTGTTGAGGTCCTCAGGACAGGTGAGTTGGGTTGAACCAGAGCCTGGGAGACCAGTTGGACCAATGATTTTATTCCCACTGCTAGCACAAGGACATGTTCTTGAACCTGAAATTGAGCAGCACTGAGGATGGAGGAGTGCCTGGATCATCATCAGGGCAGGCCGTTGGCAAGACAGCTGGCTGGACGTGGAAGCAGAAGAAAGTAATACACTGGGGGAGATTGATGGCAGCAGACGCAAAGGCAGGCCGGGGTATTGGTCCCTGACTTGTTTTCAAATAACGCAGCCTCGCTTTGTGGGGAGGGAGGAGAATGTTGACTCCCGGTAGCAATCTGTTCGACTTCACCACCCTGCAAGGGGTTAAGTCTTTTATCCACCGTCCTTCTAAAGTAGGTGCAGGTGTATCTTACTCATGACCCTCCTTGTTTTCTTAATCTGGCAAGCTGGAAATAAGCGACTCAGATTTGCTGAAGCCTTGAGATGAGGGCTGGTGCTAATCCCAGGGGTCACCCTGCACACGCAGCCGCCGTCTGTCACCTGGGTGGGTTCTTAGTCCCTTCCTTGCCGTCTACCACCCCCAGGGTGCCGTGGTGAGTGCTTGCTGAGGGGAGCCTGCTTACAGCCGCAGTGTTCTCAGTCCCTAGGTTTACTTCTTCTTCCCACAAACCTCGAGCTCTTCAGTGGGACAACAGGCCAGGTCGTCCTGCTGCCCACTGGGTAAGCGTGTTCTCCAGAGCTCGGTTTGGGGCTGTGCTGCGTTAGAGCCCAGAGGGTTGGCTAGACCACATTCTAGTCGGATTTCATGCCACCGCTTCTCATTCCCAACTCATCCCTTCTGCTTTTAAAAAACCTCTTACAGGGACACCTGGGTGGCACAGTCGGTTAAGCGCCTGACTCTTGGTTTCGGTTCAGGTTGTGATCTCTGGGTCATGAGGTTGGGGCCCTGCTCAGCGTGGAGTCTCCTTGAGATTCTCTCCCTCTGTACCTTCCTTCCCCCGACTCCCACCCCACAACGTGTGCACGCACGTTCTCTCTCTCAAATAAATCTTTAAAAAAAAAAATAAAAAAACCAGCAAACACCTATTGGAGTTCAAGTTTGTCCTGGGGTAGGATGGAAGTTGTCATTGGAAGAGAGATTTGAATTTGGGTTAGGATTGTGGGGCTATCACAGCTCCTGGAGATCATGCCACTGTTGGGATTTGTGCGGCTTTGCAGGGCAAAGTTCTAGCTCCAAGAAGGGTGATTCCTTCACTTAGGAGAAATAGGTGACCTTGACATAAGAGAAGATGAGGCACATAATTCTACTGAGTGTCCCAGGCTCTGACCACTAGTGATGACAACAGTTCTTGGTCAGCTGGTGCCTATTTGATCGTAGCCTAGCCTCGCCTGTCCCAGTGGGGCACTTAGACTTTGTGAGCCTGGGTCCAGGTCCCTATAACCAGGAGCTGCCCCTTACTTGTGCCAAAAGCTTCAAATAGTTTGCAGTGTCAATGAGTTGTGTCTGGCTGTTCACAGAATCAGAGGCTTGAGTTGGAAAGAGCTCTTATCCAGACTGCCCCTGCTCCCCACTTCAGTTTTATAGATAGAGAAGCGAATTTCATGTATGTTCGTTGTTCATTGACTGACTATTTGCCAGGGATAGTTTTAGTCACAGAAGATATTTTAGTGGATAAAATAGAAATTCTTGCAAGTGTGGCTCTTACATTATGCTGGAGAGATAGACAATAAACATAAGTAATAAATGTTTGAAAATGCTGAGTGCTCTGGGCGGCCTTAGAGCAGAACAAGGGAGATCAGAATGCTGGGAGGTGGAGGGTGGAGGTGTACTTTTAAAGGGAAGAGATCAGGGTGGGTCTCTTGAGACTGAGACATTTGAGTAAAGGCTAGGAGTTGAGAGAGTGAGTCATGAGGATTTCTGGAAAAAGAGCATCCCAGACACACGGGATGACCAGTATAAAGGCTTGAAAGCTGGGTAGAAAGCTGGGAAGGGAGTATAGTAAGAAAAGCAAGAAAGGTAACTAGGGTCAATTAGAGTGGGCCTGTAGGCCATGGTAAGTATCTGGGGTTTGGGCCTGAGTAAGATGGAAAGTCCTGAATACATGTTCATTCAGCTGTGGGATAACTAAGCTTTTGAAAGCATTATCGTGGCTGCTGTGATAGAAGTAAACTTTTGGGGAACAAGCCAGGGGATATGATGGGAGGCTTCTGTAGCAATCCAAGTGAGAGAATGGTGGCTTTGAGCAATGGAGCCCAGGAAGTGATACTAGATTGCGGGTGAACATTGAAGTCAGCCAACCATTTCTTGCTGGATTGAATGTAAGGTATGACAGAAAGGAATCAAAGAAGACTTGGAGGTTTGGCCTTGGAAGCCTTTGGAAGGGTAGAGTTGCCACCAAGTGAGATGGGAAGGACATGGAGAGGAACAGGTTGGACTGGAGAACATCGGGCTTTGCTGCCATGTGTAAGTTTGCAATGCCTGTTTAAAATCCAAGTACAGAGGTGGAGTGTTTAGTGGGATGAGTCTGGAGTTCAGGGGAGAGATCTGGTCTAGAGATAGAAATTTAGAAATGGCCAAGTTACCCAGAGTGGGTATAGAGATTTCAGAGAACGACTGAGCTCTGGGCCATCCCCCAGGGAGGTTGGGGAAAAGGAAAGGAGTCAAGTCAGCAAGATAGGAGACCTGGGCTGTGGTGTCCTGGAAGCAGGTGAAGACAGGAGGAGGAGGAATTGGCGATGTGCTGGTGGATTGAGGGACATAGGGACTGAGGATTGACCTTTGGCTTTAGTGATTGGGAAGTCATTGGCACTTACGAGCAATTTTGGTGGCAGGTAATGAGGGAGAGAGAGTCCCTCAAACCACAGCAGGTTTGAGAGGGAATGAAAAGAGGAATATTGGAGACAGAATTGACTGGAGACTCTCCACTTTTTTTGTTTAAAAGTCCAGTTGTACTTGGAAAATTGAGGACTCTAAAAAGCTTTTGTTTTGGGTTATATCTATGGATACTGGTAGTAGTAAAAATTAAAACTGAGAAATGTTTTAAGTGTTCTTTTCAAAAGAGTAATCAGTTATATGTTAATGTATAAGTATCAAAATTTATGAAAAATATTTCAAACAAAAATTTAGCGAATAGAAGAGAGGCATTGTTTTATATTAACAAATCTTTTTATTATCTGCCTTAATAACTGGGTTCTCACGTTTGCTTGTGATTTTAACCTGGTACCATGTCAGTCAGCATGTAACCTCTAGAAAACAGAGGATGTGAAAAAGCCAAACCCAGCTTGGTGTTACTGTGAACAGGGTTGGCTTCGTGGAGTTCTGCACTCTGGACCACACTTTTGGGAACTGGTGGTATAAAGAAATCTTCTGGAGGAATTTTCTGTGAAGGGGAGTGGCTGAGAAGTAGGGGGCAGCTGGAGACCTAGAAGGAATTATTTGAAGTCCCAAATGAAGGGACAGAACGTGTGTGTCCTTATTCCTTGTAAGCTTTCCCATTAGGCCTCCTGTTGGGACTTAGGCTCCAGCTGCATATAGGAGACACTTGTCCCCAGCACGTTGTGGTGAAGAACAGTGTCACTAGTCTGGTCTTGTAGATTTCAGAGTAGTGTTCAAATCAGCGCTCACCTGTTTTAGGTTTTTGCAACAGTGAATAGATGGCTTTGGGCAGGAAACATGGGATTCCTTTGAAAGGAGTATTGCCTAGTGGACTGTTAAGGACTGAGTGGTTCCATTTTTTGTGGCTTACTAGCCACGTGACCTCAGGCATGTTATATTACCTCTTGATTTTATCATCCATTAAATGGGGGTAGATCATATTTATCTTAATGAGGTTGTTGGAATCAC